CTTCTGTACCTCATGAAAATTTATATTTGATTTGAGTTGCCTGCTTGCAAAAATTGCTGCTTGGTATACATGCATAGGTGCATGTGTGTACAAGGGGCACATGCTTCCAGGCACAAGTTTACATTTGGGGTCTGCCACACATTTGAATTTTCAGCTGCTGCATAGTGCAGGCTGGTACTTTGGGAGATATTCATATTTAATTCAATAAGCAGGAATTGCTACTTGCCAGTGAGAGAAGAGAATTAAATGAAAAAAAAATAAGAACGAGTTTAATCAAATATTAGCAGTCAAATGCTGGTACAGCAAGGTGGGGAGTGCAGATGTTTGGGGGTACAGGGGGTGAAAGGCGAAAACAATTCCACTACAATAACAGAACAAATCTGTGAGGAGCACTTGAGGTCTCCTCATTAGAGAACGAACCTGGGAATTTGTTTTCCATGACTCTTGGTGATCCTGTTAGAGCACCTGTGGCCAGAGCAGATGGAGATGAGGCAGGAGACTGATGGTCTTCTGCTCTTCTTTAGACAGCTCTATGGATGCATGGGCATAGTCAAGTTCAACCAGAACCATGAGGCCTCTAGGCTCTCATCAGGATGATGAGCAAATGCAACCAGAAATAAGCCCCATTACTTCTTAGGCTCAGTCTGCATGTTAACTGTGTTGCAGAAAAGCTAGTCCTAGAGGGTAACCTGTTCCATCCTCTAGGGAAGATTCGCATTTTTCTTTTATCACCAGCAATGCAACCAATATGACAAATACAGGTACTAATTCAGTTTCATTTGACACCTATTTTCTAAGCTCCTGCTATGTGCATAATACTGGGCTAAATAAGCGCTGAGAAATAAAAAGGTGAATAAGGCATCATCCTGCCTATTGAAAACCTTGCATCACAGCTGGCTGTGATGACGGATGCCTTTAATCCCAGCTTACAGGCGTGGGCAAAAGTGTGAGACCCTATCTGAAAAACAAGTTAGAGTAGAAAGGGCTGGGGAGTAACTAAGTGACAGAGTGCCTGTCTAGCAAGTTTGAGGCCCTGAGTTTAAAGCCCAATACCGCAAAAACAAACTTTGTATCATCACGTTAGTTAAGAGAACATGGGATTTACACCTTCTTGAGCATCCAAGGGAAGCCCTGCACAGGGCATCATCCACCAAAGGCAACTCTCCCAAGGTCAAATGTGAGTGTCCAGTCTCCAGAAAATCCCACAATCAAGTTCTGGCCACTAATGATGCTGTTTGCTAGCTGGGAGAAGGAGTGGCTGGTGAGGGGGTCACAGTAGAATAATGACAATGAACCACAAACAAGGGCTTTCTAGAGTGGATTGCCACTGGAAAATAAGACATAAATTCCCTGTCATTCTCCTCTTTGCCAGAGAGGGGAGTGACAGTGATGCTCAGAAAAATGGCAGCTGGGGACCCAAAGGGTGAGTTTCAGCCCTCACTGAAGTCATGAATATAGTGCATTTCTTTCTCTCTCTTCTCTCTCTGCCTCTTAAACAGAAGCTCTACAAAGTATCAAAATCAATAAAAGTTTAAGATTCAGGCTTTTAGGTGATAACAGGAGTTCATATTTTTAAATATAAATTATAAATATGTTATTAGATATATAAATAAAAGTAACATTATTATTCTAAAATTCATAGTGGCCAAATCCACAAAGAACAGTACACCTTAGAAACACTACCTCTCCTAGAACACAATCTATGAAGTTCTGAAGTCACAGGGGTTGGGAGGGTGGAAGGACAGGGCTGGGGCTGATCTTACCCTGCTGTGACCTTACTGTGTATATTCTTCTTCAGCATAACGGTCCATCTGAATTCCTGGGCAATTAAGATTTCTAGCTAAAGACCCTAAAACATCTATTCATCTTTCAATATATTAATAATTTTACAAACCTTCGTTAATCATATTTTAATAATACTAAAGAATTCCAAAATAAATTTTATTACTCAGGCAAATATTACCATAACATTTGTTATTTAGCTTATGCTTAACAGCACAATGATATATAAGAGTCAGTGACTGTGGCTTGGCATGGTTGCACATTTATATAATCTCAGCTATTCAGAAGATAGAGTTAGGAGGATCATGGTTCCAGGCTGGCCTCCAGCAAAGTTAGCATGAGACTCTATCTGAAAAACAAACTAAAAGCCACAAGACTGGGGGTGTGGCTCCAGTGGTAAAGAGCACCACTTAAACTCCAGGCCCTGAGTTCAATAAAGTCAGAGATAGTTCTGTACACAGGCACAGGTGTGTGCAGATATTGGCGTCCATGGGGCACTCTGTGCGTGGGATACGTGGCTCACATTGGAACTTTTAGGACACTATAGATAATCTTTGGATTGTATATTTATGAATGGTATATTCCTATTTAATTAGTGAGAGATGACAGCCTTTTGTTAATGAGCCCCAATAACTGGAAGTAACTTAATTCAATGATTTAACAGCAAAAATCCCCCAAAACCTTGGCGAGCTGAGTGATGAGAAAGAAGAGCAGCAAGAAGAATGTTCCATTTGAGGATAGGACAGATCCATGAAAAAACTTCAAATTGTTTTGTTATTTGTGACTATGTTTCCCTTTCACTTCTTAATCCAACTTTTCTGCTACTTATTTCCGTATCAGATGACCATTATTTTCCTTTATATTTATTCAGACCACCAGGGTTTTTTGTTATTGTTTGAGGTTTCAAAGTAGTCTTATTTGTTTTCCTTCCCCTCAAATGGAAATCAGACAAGAACAACTTTCTGAAACTTGAATTTCCTGACATCTAAGCAGAATGTTAATCTACTTTAAATCCCTCTGTACAAGCTGAATCAACAATCATTGCAAAAAGACATTTTAATTTGTGAAAATCTCATACTCGCCATGCATTATTTCCATCTCTTGGTGTGAATGTACCTCAGGTATTCTCCTGCTACACATGAAACGTTTTGTGTCTCTGCCTCTCAATCATAGGATTGTACACTTTGAATGGTTTCAAAAATAAAGCAAGTGTGTCTTCCAATTGCTTTATAAGTTCTAAAATCATTTTAGCTTTTCTTCTCGAAAGGAAGGCTCTGTGGAGCTGAGACTGGGCTCTTCAAAATAACATAAGTGTTTCTGTGTTGTTACTAGCACGGTCATGTAGCAACGCTTTTCCCTAGCACAGAAGACTTTCAGTGTTATGCACTTTTAAATATGAAGATCTAAATGCACGAGGGTGGGGAGAGGGGGAAGAAATGACCCAAGCATTGTATGCACATATGAATAATAAAAAATAAATAAATAAAAAAAATTTAAAAAAGGATTTAAATGCACATAAAATGATCAAGTATGCTATCTTTTCTTTGCAATAGTCAACAAAGTTCTAACTACTATTACAACTGATTCAAAATCTTACCGAGATTAAGTGACTTTAGATATCTTGATAACAAACAGTTGTCACTGTATGTCACTGTATGTTCAGTTGTCACTGAAATTAGATGCATATCTCTAATATTCTTTTTTGAGTGTGGGGGGAAGCAGGGTCTGTATGTAGCCCAGTTTGGCCTCAAACTCTCAATCCCCTTGCCTCAGCCTCCCGAGTACTGGGACTATAGGTGTATGCCACCACGCCTGCTTCTTTCTCTAATAGTCTTTCTAAATCGCAATCTGTTAGGTTACTTTGTCCTACTCACAAAACACATATGAGGGATCTCCTTCAATTGAGTACAAAATAGGAACAGTTTCTACTGTGAAGTTCAAATTTCCCTAAGGATCCCCTGTCAAAATATGAGACAACAGGTCACAGTCCCTCAATTTCTCAGTTTCAAGTAAAGTCCCAATGCTGTACAAAGCACATTCAAAATGCATTGTTGGGAGTTACAGGATGCAATTCACATGGAAGCTGGTATCTCCAAGGATTTTGGATGAGCAAGTACGTTTAAGCAGGTCTTTGGCTTAACAAGCCTCAGTAACCAAACTGGTCTGCTTCAGGTGTTTTATGGCCACTTCAAGATGACCAGGTACTTAGCACTCTACTCCAATCGAAACAAACAGGAGTATTTCCCAACATATGTGTGTACATAGATGTGTATATCTAATAGAGGCTTATACATACATATGCATGTACATGTATAATTTTTTTCTCAGGATGAATTCATTTGAGATTCGGTCCCTTCTCAATTCACCTGTGAAGCTATTGCTTGTTTCAATTGAAAAATTCACTCAGGAATCTACCTGCACAATTAGCCTAAATCTCTGAGCAGGATGGTTAATTAAGCTGCACTTTCATTATGGCCAGCACACTTGTTCAATTGCAGTTTAGATACAAACCCACATTCTCCCCTATTATTTGACATTCTGATTTTGTATCTTGAGTTGTTCTTGGCTTTGAAGGATCTTTTCCACTGTGGTTTCTGTTCCTGGCTGACCTTTTCATTGAGGTGTCCTCATACACAGCTGTCCCCTGGTGTGCTGACATACTTATGTAATCACACTTTACGGTTATAATCAGTGCACGCTGCAGTCAGTGTCTGTCCCCAACTTAAGACCCTGCTCCTCAGGTGGCAATGGCTGGCCACCCAAGGAGTGGCTCAGGGAGGCTGACTGGACTGCTGCTGAAGTGGGGAGCTGGGCACTTACTTTGTTTGGAACTGTAAACATCAGCTACCAAAACAATCCCCTCAAATCCTAAGTCTATGGTACCATTACAGAAAAATTGAACTGAAGCACAAATTATGAAACACAGTGAAAAGAAAGGTCCTGCAATGAACTGTTCATGAAAATGTCCCCATGGCACCTGTTTAGTTTGTAATTATTTTCAAAAGGGACATAAAAACACAAGAAGGATGTGGGGCTTCTTGCTTAGGTAGAACCTGTTTTGTGGAAATTATAGGAAAAAATGTATTATTTTTTCCAGCTAGCAAAGATATGCACACAATGCCAACAGTTTTCCAACCCTGCCACTCAGCAAGGCAAAGAGAAAGAAGGCCCTGGAGTTTTCCTGCCTTTGATGGGGTAGCACAGGGCCCTAAGCTTACCTGGGTCGAGTCTCAGGTGGCAATGGCTGGTCACCCAGAGAGTGGCTCGGGGAGGCCGACTGCTGCTGAAGTGGGGAGCTGGGCACTTGTTTTGGGGACCTTGGCACTTCGGTGAAGGAGGCGCCTCGCCCAGAGAAGGAGAAGGATGAGGAAGTCTCGCCTGCTGGGGGCAGGTTGTGGGCCTGCTGGGTGGCACTCAGCTCTTGACCTCGTCTTTGGTTTTCTACATTTAGCAGCACCTCCCGGTCAGCAGTGTCACTGCCGTAGAAGGCATAGCCCTTGGAGTCCACTGCACAGGTCCTGAGCCCCATGGTCTCGGACCTGGTATACAGAGAACTTGACTCTTTGCTTGACTCTTCTTGCTTCTCACTTTTCCCTCCCCATTTCTCAACAGCATCGGGGTCCTTCCTGGACTTGGTGTAGCGAGACAAATATTCAGATTCTGCCTCTGGATCTAGAGTCAGCCCGTATTTTTCTGCCAGCTGCCTTCTCCTTTCTGCTTTGTACCTTGCAATTCTTTCGGCTTTGGACTCAAGACTGTGGGTGTCCATGGAACCTGAACTACGGGATGAACTACCATGGACCCCCGAGGTGTCTGGGCAGTATTTCAATTGAGTTTGCTTTTCTAAAGAAGAATCAGAAGTTTCATCCTCTTCATTTGATCGGCCTGCAAGCAGATTACATGATGGATAATATACAGAATCCAAAAGATGCAGAGTCACAGTATTTACACACATAAGGACACTCTGCAGATCTTCATCATTTTTTAAGGCTTCATAATATTCTATTCAACAGGCATTCCATAATTAACCCTTGTTAATTATCTCTCGGCATGCTTCCAACTTTTAATTAGTCTTATTTTGTGATTATCATCACAGTAGACAGACTCATAAAAGAAGAATTAGTTTAGCAAACACTCAAGAAATTTGAAGGCACTTTTCTAAACTATCCTATTTATTTCTAGAGAGTTGGAGGTGTAGCTCAGTGGTAGAGTGATTGCCTAACACGGGCAATGCCCTGGTTCCATTCCAATACTGAAAAATAATAATGCAATAATAATAATGAGAATTTCTGTGAAATCTGCACCAATCTGCACTTATATTTGTAACATATGCTTTTGCCCAAATATGGAGTTCTTTTTTAAAAACTGCCTTTGGTCATTTAAGAAAAAGCAGGTATCTGTTTTGTGTCTCATGTTTATTAGCTACCACATTATCTTTTTCTTCCAGGGAATGCCTGCTCAAGATTATTGCTCTATGTAATGTCATTTTTATTGGTTTCCATGAAATTTTATGGGAATATTAGGCATCTGTCTTCTTTGGGAGTATTTTCAAACTCATTTGTGGTTTAATTTTGTTTCAATAGCTATGTGGGCTTATGAGATTTTGGGTTTTTTTTTTTTTTTTGGCAGCACTGGGGTTTGAACTCAGTGCCTGCTAGGCAGGCACTCTATCGCTTGAGCCATTCTGCAAGCCCAGGAATTTTTTTTTTTTTGACATATAGATGTCAACTGTCAAATAGTCAGGTCAGCTGACCTAATTATTGGGTAGTTTCTTCTACTGTTTCTGTGTTTTGAAATCCTTTTCCACTGTATTTGAATAAAATACACCTATGTTTTCATGTTTCCAAGTATTGTCTTCCCTTCTTTTTTTTCAGTACTGGGAAAAAAAAGTACAGGGCTTTGTGCTTGCCAGGCAAGTGCCACACTGCTTGAGCCATGTTTCCAGCTCTCCAATTATTTTCTTTAAATTAATCATGCATTTAACTAAAACATATTTTTGGGTTTAGTATGAATGCAAAGAGGAGTATGTTCTTTCCTTCGCCTTCACTAGCTCATTTTCCCAATGCCATTTTATGAAATAATTCTTTCCTGGTGGAACATGTCTGTAATCTCAGCACTTAGGAGGCTGAGGCAGCAGGAGGATAGGGAGTTCAAGACCAGCCTAGACTATATGGTGAGACCCCCATCTCTAAAACAAACAAATAGACAAAACAAATCTTTCTTTTCTCACTAGGATGTGATGCTTAAGTTATATGCTACATAGCTGAGCATTTATATACAGTAGGATTTGTTTCTGTCTATAAATTTTGAAATTTTTATCTCTTCTGCAAATTCTTTTATGTTTGTTTTCTTTTTTTGGAAGCACTGGGGTTTGAACTCGGGACCTCAAACTTGCTAGGCAAGTGCTCTTACTGCTTGAGCCACTTCACCAACCTTCTTATCTATTCTGGGTTCTTCACATACATCATTTCAAAACAATCTTAGTTCTCTAATGTTCAGGCCACAAAAAATTAGAAATCATAGACCCCAGCAAAATTATAACATCATGATGTAAGATCAACAGTTCTCTCTGAAGAAGAAACTAGAAAACACTAGCTATAAAAAGCAGTGGCTTTTTATAGCGCCTCCAAGCCAGGGACTGGGGACAGGCGTATCAACCCTGATGGCCTCAGCCTCTGCCAAGGTCAAGCTGGACACCCGAAGACTGTAACAGTGACTCTGCATAACCAAGGAAAAGCTAAGTCACCACGCTTGACATATGGTTTAATACGAAATCCACATGCAATGCACCTGCATCCATGCAAACAAGTAGAATGTTTTGCTGCATACACACTTTGAGCAAGACCTGTAATTATTCATAGTCCAGCTTGCCTTTAAGTCTCCCTAGTGAGAGCGGCATTGCCCTTTGCTGTGCATATAGGCATTTAGTTTCAACCCACTAGGAGAACTCTAAGGAAGTTCCTTTATCAAAAATACAAAAAAACAGAAAACAAAACAAAAACCCAAAACATTCATTGAGCATTTCTGACAGCAGGTCCTGTGCCAAGCCCTGCGGGTTGGCGAGATGGACACATGCCTTCCTTTGAGTATCCCCATCCAGGGAAGTTACCCAACAATGTGCACAGGGGAGACATTTCTTACTGCTCTGATATTAGAGGACCACATCCATGAGGCAGAGTGGGCTGCTGACATGTTGGTGTTTTTAACAAACACATTAAATAAAAAGTAGATACACACAATTCACTGTGGTTGGAGAGTTCATGTTCCAGTCCCACTAGACTAGAAAGGCAGTGTGCGGGATGCCAGGCAGCACATGCTCACCAGTGTGGGGGCTGGCAGGGTCGGTGGCTCGCATGTATCTGGGCGTGTCTTCCTCCAGCAGGCGATGAGTCACCAGTCCTGTGCAGCTCTGCAAGAGGATGGGCTGGGTGTCATTTTCGATTCCTTCCAAACGCCTGGCAATTCTTTCTTTCCTGTGCAATACACCAAAAAAGTAACAGTGAGACATGGAAATCACTGCTGAGGGACAGCTAAATACCAGTTTGCCAGACTCCTCTTAGTCCTTAGTCACACGCCATAAATACCTTACCTCTTCATTTCTAAAAATTCTTTCCTCTTTGGTTCAAAGAGTTTTCTTAATTCTGCAACTAAAATAAAACAAAAAAGAACAAGAAGGGAAGTCCCATGGTTAGGAGTCATGAATTCATTTTATTCATTCATATTTATGGAGCTCAAATTTCTGTGTTTGGCTCCCAGGCAGTGGTGACCCACAACAATGACCAACTTTCTGTGTCTTGGAGTTTTGTTTTCCAATAGGGAAAGTAGATTCCAAGTTGTCCTCCCGCCACCCTCAACACACACAACACATTGGTCACATATTAGCTAATATGTAACCTCATGTAGGCTAAGGGAGACTACGGCACCCAGGAGAGTCAAAGGTGTCATGATTTGCAAGCTCTCTCTAGTAAGATGGGTTTTTTTTTTCCTTTCTCTTTATCAGAAGCAATGCCAGTATCGACCTGTTTTAAACTTTTGTTACATTTAACAAAGTAATTTAAACTTTTTTTATTTCTTTTTTCTGGCAGTACTGGGGTTTGAACTCAGGGCCTTGCACTTGCTAGGTAAGTGCTCTACCACTTGAGCTAAACTCCAGACCTTTTTGCTTTAGTTATTTTTCAGACAGGGTCCTGCACTTTTGCCCAGAGGCCTCTAACTGTGATCTTCTCATCTACACCTCCCAAGTAGCTAGGATCACAAGTGTGAACCACCATGTCTGGCCCTTACTTTAAGCTTTTATTCTGGAAAACACAAAAGCAGAGACTAGTGCTACCCACAGGGCCATGTGCAAGCTACGATGGTGAACTCACAGCAATCCAACTTCACTCCATTATTGAATCTGTGAACATCTGTAACTACACGATTGTGGTTCCAAGAGCACCCAACAGGGCACACCTCCATAATGACAGCTTAGATCAACATGGGTCCTTGGCCTCCCCTTGTAGGCTTTCATTGAAAGGAAATGCTAACTCTGTTTCCCTGCTGTAATGGATGGTGTGATCCTTCTGGCAACACTGGAGGACCAACAAAAACAGTCTCCCATGTTGGGACATTTCCTGTGACACTGACTACAGGAATAAAGCTGAGATGTCAGACAAGTGTTTCTTTAGAAAAAGGGCCAAGGATGATTCAGAATCAAGGTCTCCTTTCTTGTCTCCTTCACTGCACCAATTCAGGAAGGGACCCGCAGAGGGAGGAGGTGGCTACATAGCCCAGGGCAACATAGCTTGGAAATCTTGAGTCATAGGAGAAATGCAAAGGAAGGGGTCTGAATACATAGAATTTAATTAATCATTATTACTGTTACTATTTATTGTTGTTACTGTTGCCAATCTGAGAACTGAACCCAGGGCCTTGCACCTGCTGTGGCAGCATTCAACCACGGAGCCACAGGCCCAACTTGATTTTAATGTTCAACTGCTCCAACTCTGTTCTTTCTTAAGTAGCCATTTTTAGCAGTGAAGCAAGACCACACAGACATACACGTGATGTTCAGAGATATAAGCCTTGTTTCTCTTTATTTTTAAGGGACAGCTGCCTTTGAAACTTGAGTTGAACTGGCTTTAGTTAACATAATTAGCTTCAAAAAATAAAAAGCCTTTCTGGCTTTAAAAATGTCTCCCAGTTGCTTCCCCAAGAACCAGAGCAGCTGGAGGCAGAGGCGAGCTGTGGCAATGGTATTTATGCCCCATCGGGAGGACAACAGTGTAGTAATGGTGCATCTGCCTTCCAGCCTTCCATGAGGCCCCTGGTTTCTAAACCACTTCCCAGTTAACAAATTAGCTCTGTGAACTTATGCTGGTAAAACTTTAATGGCTGGCAGTACATATTTTGAAAATATTTTCAAAGCTGATATATATTAAAGAGATATACTTAATTATTTAACCCCAATGAGGAGAATTAAACCATATTTTCCATAAGTCCATCCAAGAAATGATTGTTTAAAACCACTTTCATTTCATTACATTTTTGATTTTATATTTTTCTATACAAATTTCTACAGACATTTTTATGAAAGATTCTAGGCTATACATAAAAAATATTCTGGCCATTCTTCATTTCTCCTTTTCTTGAAGGAAAGAACTCATGGAGGCACCACTTCCCACCCACAGCAAAGCTCTACCTTTCCCACTGTCATTACCACCACATCACTGATCTATAAAGACTGAGATCAGATGAGCAGGGAGCAGGCAATGGTTAGAATCACTGCTCATCGCCAAAACTGAATGAATCTCAGCCTGAGAAGTGACAGTACAGAGGGACGGGGACAGGTTCAGTTATCCTCGATGGGCCTCTTCCCCTTTCACTTCTCCACATGGCAAGGAGTTTCAAGACAGCATTTGACAGACATGCAGATGTACCTCTTCAGGAACACACAGACTCAGAGGGCTGGCTCTGGAATGAGTCACACATGGTCAGGGGCAATGGTGGCTTGTGAAGTGGAAAGTAGGAGCCCAGAACTGCAGCAAGCTCAGTATCCCTGGCACTGCTATGAAATGATAAATTGCTCCGGGTTTCTGTGACTCAAAAATGTCCCCATGTTTCCAGAGCCCCCTAGGGACTGTCCTGGATTGAGAACCATTGGTCCAAATACAAAGATCTCAAATAGACAGGTGATTCTCCCAACTCCCACACCCCAAGACCAAGACAGACACCACTAGCCCATCAACACGGTCTTCTCGGACACAATGGATTCAAACCCTGTACTATTGCTTCCAGAAGCTAGTATTCATCCACCAACAGAGGAGATGCTGAAGTGACATCTCATAGTCCTCTCTGATCATTTCACTGAGGAATGAATGAAAGGAAGTCACAAGTTAAACTATTTGAAACAGACTGGTGAGCTTATTAATTATTAATGGAAATCTATAGTGAATTTCATAGGAAAATTAAAAAAATTCCCCAAGCCAACTTTACCTTTCTTTCTATGAAATACATATTTAAATGACTAAAATTTAGTAACTTTCAAATAAAATTAACAAAACAAATAGGTAACATAATTATTTTTGTCTCTCTCGTGGGAAAGCACTTTAATTAAGAATGATGTTTTATTTGAATTAATGAAATGTATCTACTTTTTCTCAATCTTTTCCAGGAAAGGATTTTGTTTGTTTTTGTTTGTTTTGTTTTCTTGGTGGGACCTGGGTTTGAACTCAGGACTTCATGCATGCAAATTAGGCACTTTATCCCTTGAGCCATACTTCCAGGCCTTATCTGGGCTCTTGTAGTCCTTATTAGGTCTAAAATAGGCTGAAATAAAATTCCAGTTGAATTTTCTATCAGATTTATAATAGAACATTGAAAACAATACTTAAAAAAAAATCATAGCCTGATGTCAGCTTTGTTTGATGGTTAATCTGGATTGTCAATTTGACTAGATTGAGATTACTAATGCATATCTCTGGTGTGTCTCTGTGGGCATTTCCAGAGAGGATTAAGGGAGCACCCACTGTCAATGTAAGTGGCACTACCCTAGTTATTTGCCACAGCAATGAAACATTTGACTAACACACTATGAAAATCTATGCTGTAACTTCACTTGTATAGATGCTGCAGACAGTTCTATCTATCTTCTGATTGATAATTTTCATTTTCTTTCTCTCTCTCTCTCTCTCTCTCTCTCTCTTTTTAACAGTACTGGGGATGGAACCCAGGGTTTCATGCATGTTAAGTAAGCACTCTACCACTGAGCCACACCCCCAGCTTCTAGCTGATAATCTTCAAGGTTTCTTTCCTTTCAAAACTTTTAACGATTTTTATGTAGTTTCAGACTGAGAGAAAATTTTAAAGATACCCTTCAGAGGACATTAACACTTTACTACAGTTGATGTATTTTATCCTTTTTTCTCTATTTATAGGTATTTACATAACATTTTTTCCAAATTATTCAAGAGTATATTGCAGCATGAGGTTTCTTTATCTTAAATTCTTCAGTATTTCCTAAAAATAAGCAATAAAAATGTTTCTTACAATTAGATTCAAAGGCCATAATTCATTTGACTGTGTACTGCATCATACTTAGAATTCACGAATGTTTATTGATAAACAGTCACATAATCTAGTCATAAATAAGCATAGATGGTCTAATTTCCATTGCAATAAGAAATGTTCAGTTTTCAAATACATTATGACTTTAATGCACACTAAATCTTTCCTGTACACCTGCCATTTGTTCTCATTTGAATGGTGCTTCTGTAGTAATATGAAGTTCACAAGTCTATTTCTTTAGTCAACCCTGACAGGAGCTGGTCAGTTTTCAAGTTAGGCCATTCAAGTGAATTGGACAGCAGGACTATAATAATCCATAAAGTCATTTACCAAAGATTCTTTGAAATAGGACTATATAATACCAATCTTCAGGATAATTTGGTCTGCTGGGTGCTTTACTTGGGAAACACAATATCCTCAGCCAGTTGTGAGAAGCTGGATTTCTGATAAGGACATTGTTGAGTTCGGTCTTCCAAACTTTAGTACAGTAGCATCTTCTAAAGAAACATAAGCAATAGAGCACAGCCAAGTGTGCTCTGTCACTCCCATTGCTCAACATCCTGGGGGGCACAGGCCAGACCTGTGATATTCCCAACACTGGTCTCCTTTCCCTCAGGAGCAATGTACTTCAAACATCACACTTCGATGGTGGCCACTAATGTAAAGACAAGCAGCTTATAAAATAAGAAATCACAAAACTAGAGGACTAAGGAGGGGGACCAAGCCTGAAGGGAATGGTTTTTTTTTTTTTTTGAATAATGAAAATGTTATTAAATTGACGGTAGGGATGTATGTACAATTCTGAAAATACACAAAAGTCAATGAGTTGTATACTTTAAATGGATGAATTGTTTGGTGTGTATTGTATTTTAAGAAAGCTGGTAAAGAAAATAATGACTGTGATCCATTTCTTAATTCCGAAATGGAAAATTTATTAACATAGCAGCCTTTAGTTAAGCATTTTAATCCCTTGATTTCTTGTTTGTGGGTACACAGTTAAGGGAAGTCACTAGAGAGAAAAAGGAATGAATATTTTAATGTATAGCTTCACAGGAGCATGAAACCTTCACTAAATGAAGAGAAAGAATCCTAAATAAAATAAAATTCTTGGCTATGGCTAAAATTTATTTCTTCTCTCTCTCTGGTAGTGAGGACTGAAATCAGGAACTCACGTGCTCTACTGCATGAGCCACACCTCTAGTCATTTTTGCTTCAGTTTGTCTATCAGATAGGTCCAAGTGCTTTTGCCTGGGACCACCAACCTCCTACCTCCACCTCCCAAGTAGCTAGCATCCTGGAGGGTGCCACCATGTCCAGCCTTACCTACTCATTTTTATATTTTGCTTTAGTTATATTCATAGATTTTATTTGGTTCAGATTAAATTGGGTTTCTTCCCATTATTTTCTACAATTAATATACATACATTAATAAAAAGCAAAAAATGAAATATAATAAAATTGGGTTTCTTTGCCTTTCATAAATAATCTTAAAATTAAAAGGACCATTTCATTTCACACCTGGTCCACACGCCCACCTGCATGGAAACCCTCCACAGCATCGGTCTCACCCTGAACACATGGTCATTGCCTCCATCAGGAGAAGAGCTTGACATCACAGTGGAGTGCACTTCCTTGCTGATGACAGTGATCCTGCTTAATCTCCACTTGAACCTGTGGTTTCTGTTACCTGTGGTCAACTGTGTTTTCAAAATATTAATATTTGTCTTGACTTTATTACAGTATATTGTTATACTAGTATTAGTTATTGGTGCTAACTTCTTTTTCTCATAGGTATCTCTGTATAAGAAAGAACACAGTGTGTGTAGGATTTAGTTCATCCACAGTTTCAGCATCTGTGGGGTGTCTTGGAAAGTATCCTCCATAGGTAAGGGTGAATTTTAGAGACTTCTTTCTCATATGAAATCTTACATATTTCCTTTCAATTCTGCACATTACTCTTATTTCTTGTCCTCTGGAGCAATATAGAATAAGCCTATATTTCAGATAACAGTTTTATAAGTAATTAAAAATGACAACACATCCCTGTTTGGTTTTTTTTTTCTACTACCCCAAATCCTTGGTGTCTTTCAAATCTCCATCTTCATCAGACCATGTCTGCACATTATCATCCATTCAGCCCCTCAGGATATACTCCAATTTGTCAGTGTGCCTTCTAATATGGATTTAGTTTCTAATAAAAATATTTCTTCTGATCTAATTCCTTTTGAGTTTGATACTTTTTCCTCTCAAAGTAGGGAAAAACATCTGCCTGTCCATCACCAGTTTCTTCTAAAGAAAGGGTTACACAGTTAATTTGGGATGAAGACTTCTTGAGCGTTGGTATTAAATGATTATTCCTTATGCTAGTGTTGCAGTTTGTGGAAAAAAGATCAACTAATGTTTCACCAGTTCAGAGGAAAAGTAGAGGGAGTCAGTTCCCAGCAGGGCAAATATTTTACTACATGTGTGCCTCTTACCAAGGGAAACAGTAAGTCACCGAGCCTGCATGTGTACTTACTTGGAGAAGAAGGTGTGAGAGTGTGCACCAGCTGTCTGTAGCCCAGGTGGGAGCTACAAGATACTGAATGTAGAAGCCCTAGCATTGGGAAGTACCTAATGGCATGGGAACAGCCCCTAGAGGGAGCAGGAGGGGTGGGTGGAGAAGGATGGGGTCTGGGGGAGCCCACTGCCCTTGGAGAAGGTTAAAGGCAAGAGAAAGAAGAGGGGATGCTGACTCCATACCCTCTTTCCCTCTTCACCCAGCCTCCAGGAAAAACTGGAGGACACCTATAATGAAAAGGAAAGAACGAGCAGAAAGGTGAGGATTTGAAATACAAGAAGAGAGACACATTCATTGGAGCTAATTCTTGGATGAGGCAGGGAGGGACACAGACTCAAGACTGCAAGTTGGGTGTTAGCAGGAGAATCCCTCAAGGCGACTCAGGTAAGGCAGCCTTTCCCACCCTGACACTGGTTAGCATTTAGAAAACCTCTTACCAGGTCAGGTAGAGATGAATCAATTCGGGTTGTAATACACTTGTGCATGGAAGCAATGCTAGGAATCTCTGTATAGCTATCCTTAGTTCAACTAGCAAAAATGCTATGTCTTTCTTATTATTGCTTATGTCTTCTCTTCAACAAAATTGGAGAAAAGGGCAGAACAGGTTCTGCCTGGAAGTGAGGGGTGTGGGGAGGAGAGGGAAGGGGTGGTAGGGGGCAGAGATGTCCCAAACAATGTATGCACATATGAATAAATGAATAAATAAACCAAAATAAAAACAAACATATAAACGAAAAAAACAAAAACCTTCCTCTATGCCAGAGACTCACTCTCAACCTCTCTTTTCTTAGAGCATATTCTTTAGAAAATTTATAATTGTAAATTCTTTCTCAGCCTGAGGCATAAATGTAAGTCTTTTTTTTTTAAATTAGTTTTAAAACAAGTTTTTGGAAATTTTTTTAATATTATTCAAATTTTTATTTCTTTTTCTTTTTTTAATTATTATTGTTGTACTGGGGGTACATTGTGACATTTACAAAAGTTCTTACAATATATTATAGTTGAATTCAAAAAAAAGAAAAAAAGAAAAAGAAAACCTCTTACCTTTAGGAAGTGCAACTAAAAACTTGGCATCAAGTCCCCTTTTGTGGTTAGCAAGCTGTTCTTTGTCATCAGGTGTGAGCTCCTTCTGAAAGCTGAACATCATTTCCATTAATAAAGTGCCAGAGGTCAGTTTAAAACAAGAGGCAGAATGTTAGGTGAAAAAAACAGAAGCTGAAAGTCATGTTACTGGTCACACATAGTTAAGTATGTGCATATAGATCACAAGCAAAACAGTTTTATTTGGTGCTGTATTCTGGCAATGTTTTTCTGTTATTTACATTTATGTGAATATTACGATTTTTGTGCGTGTGCCGTCGTGTGGTGTGTAAGGTGGAGAAAACATTGCTGGACTGGGGAAAAGTATTCCTTTGTTCAGAGGGACAACCTCATGCCCAGGCCACAGGACTGGCAACGCCACAGCCTTGTTGGACAACAGAACCTGCTGTCCTCCGGTCATTGCTCTGGAGGGTGATGCTGCAGTCCTGTGCCTGCCACCACCTCTCAACCAAAAGTTACAAGACAGTATTTCAGGATGGAGCCATCTGTGCATTTAGAACTAAAGTACATGCTACAGACTTAATTTTTGCAATTATAATTTTAAAATGTTCTAGCATTTGTATCTTTATCCAATTGTCTTTACTGTCTCTGACATAGCACTCATTCTTTATGACTTGTTTTCCACCTCTTTACCTTCCTTCTTACTTTCTATCATCTGAGAAACCTTGCCCTCTGCTTCCATGATGGATTTTTTTAATGTGTCCCATTAACCTAATTAAATACCTAGAGAGCAACAGGGGGTGCGAGGGGGAGGTATTTAAAGGGGAGAAGGATACTCTGGTGCTAACATTAATTTTTTTTACAGTGTAAAATATCATTACAATACCTCTCTAGCACCCATGCTGTGTAAGTCTCCCCCAAACCTCTTCCCTCTGCCACAGAGGTATACATTACAAGGTGAGGGATTCAAAGCCCCATTGCCTCATATTTTCAGCTCTCTGGTGGACTGGATTTCTTGCAAGGAGACAGGCTCTACACCTCCAGCACATTTTATCCTTGCTAGCACGCCAAGTAGGCCATCATTTTAATAGGTTTTCATGAAATAGAAGCCACGATTTTGGGGCTGTCGCTGTCTACCAAAGTGTGTACTTGCATATTTCATGATTTTCTGGTTCTTGACTAAGCAATGCCTTCTTGTCTCCCTTTCTTTTTCTTCCTTTTCTTAATCACTTACACTTACTAGCTCTTACAATTCAGGCAATCTGCTAAGGGCATGTTGAGAAATAAATCTCGAGTTCTGTTAAAACCTGCTAGAGACAGGTACATGGATGCATTGGGCACCATATTCATGACTCCATCGGTCAGGTAAGAAAACGTCACTGATGACCCTGAGTCATCATCACTCTAATTTGCTTCATGTTTACAGGTGCATGAAACACACCAAGGATTTGTCCTATCTAGTGTGTTGATAGGATTAACTCTTCAGTTCTCAAATGCAGAGCCAGGCTCTGTCTGATGACGGCCACAGGAGTCAGACACAAGTTTAGTCTAGTGCTAAGGGATGCAAGCCCTTTTTAGTGAGGTAACAGTGCCACAGTACATTAGGAGCAAGAGGATGGGGGTGGGGGAATGGGAGACTCAGAGGTTGGCTCCTCCTAGCACCATGAGATACAAGTCAAGACCCATGCCTGAATGCATAGGGGGGACCTTGTGCCTCCAATTGAAAAGATCAAGTGTTTTAATTAATGACCAGGGCCTTATAACCAAGCACCTGAGGTTCAACTACCTGTGTGGCCCTCACTTGCACTTTCACACTGTCCTACATCTATGGTGACATACCATCAAGTCTTAGCACATTAGCAACTCAAATCAGTACCTACGATATCCTGCAGCCAAAGAAACCAGAAGTGCAGAGTGGAGAGAGATGGTAAAGATCCAGCTGGGAGAGCTCACATGGACAGGTGGCTATATGGGTGGGAGGAAGGAAGAGAAAGAAAGGTATGGCTGGGATGAAGAAATGAGGAGAGACAGTGGGAGAGACAGAGACAGAAGAAGAAAGAGAGAGAGACAGACAAGACAGGGACAAGGCTAAACCCTTTCTAAAAAAAAAAAAAAAAGCTCCCTTGCTTGATGGACAGATAACAAAAGGATATCCCAAGCTTAGAGGTAAGTGTGAGAAAGAAAAGTGAATAGCCTTTTCTATACTTACAATTAATTATAAGCAACATGAACATTCTAGTCCTCATATATTCCCAGAAGCAGCACTAAATACAAAAGAACCTTTGCTGCCTGAGCACACTGTTAAGTCAGCTTGCTTTATATATATATATATATATATATATATATACACACACATGTATATGTAAATATATAATGTATGTAACATATATAATGCATATATGTGTGTATGTGTGTGTGTGTGTAGTTTTTTGCAGAGCTGGGGATTGAACCCAGGGCCTGTGTGCAATAGTTAAGCCCCTGTACCACTATGAATAAACTCTGAAGAGAAAATGTAATGCCAAACATTTAAACTCATGAATTAGGAGTTTAAGAGAATAAGTGGTTGGCACAGCTCAGTAGGAAAGTGTGCCTAGCATCTTCAAGGCCCTGAGGTTAAGCCCCAGCACAGCAGGGGGGAAAAGAAGGAATTTAAGAGAACCATTTTAAAAGCTGCTACAAATCTCCAAAATTTAAGATTCTTTGAACAAAGACCACTTTACCTTGTAACTTTTCTTTGATGTGGGAATCCGATGAAGCTTAAGTTTTTCTTGTTGAAATCTAAGGGAAAAGAAACAATGTAACATTGAAATACTTACACAGTTAATTAAAAAATCCAATGAGAAACACTCCTCAATCTCCCTTTGAATTTACAATTTAAGAGAAAAGGGA